ATTTCAACTACGAAAATAACTGGTTATTTACAACTATTGAATCAGTATTTCAGAAGTTATGAACATTTTAACACATGGTTGGATGTAGATGTGCATCAGAATAATGCATAACGATAAGAATAACAAAACCCAATATTCATCTCTAGTCTATATTTAAAAATATTGATACTTCCGAAATACAGGTTCAAATGTTAGTATCGACCAGTCAATTTTTTGTTAGATCATTTTTTATTATATGAATAATTAATTAAAATAAAAAAAAAGTTAATTATGTATGTCGCTATTTAAAAAAATTGGTACACTTATAAAGAATAAGAGATANTTTTTATTATATGAATAATTAATTAAAATAAAAAAAAAGTTAATTATGTATGTCGCTATTTAAAAAAATTGGTACACTTATAAAGAATAAGAGATATACCTAAAAAATATTTAATAACTTATATTTAAAAAAACTAAAAATAAAAAATAAATTCTGAAAAAATTTTTTTTAGGAGAAATTTTGTGGTTAATGATCACTCTGTATATTATGAAAATTTTATGTTAGATATATTTATTGATTTTACTACCTGAATTATAGCATAAATATAATAAAAAAACCAGCACTGTGGGAATGTGGTATAATTTGGACAAGTATAAGTATAAGTATAAGTACTTAAAGTCGCTTCGATACAAATATGTAGATAAATAAGGTGTCCCTTATTTTTAAAATTTTGGAAATTCTTCATGCCCACCCTCTAAATTTGTGTGTATATATATATAAAAAATTTCAAGTTGATCAGATTAGTTTAACATATGTCGACTTAGGATTGAAAAAGGGATAGTTTTTACCAATTAACTTGAAAGTTTGCGCTCTCACAAAAAAAATTACTAGAACTAAATTGTAGATCTAATTGTTTTGTATAAATTAAATTTTTACAGTGTTTTTTCTAATTCAATTAGTTTTTCAGAAAAATTAAAAAATACATAATATTTTGTAAATAGTCGAATTTGGCATATTTATGAATATTTCATCATATTTGACGAACCATATACAATACGACCTTATGTTTCATATAATAATTTTTAAATTAAATTTTATAAAATAAAAGTAATAAGAAAAAAATTCCTTGAACCGATAGTTTTATTGCTATAGTTGAAATAGTTCAATCATTTTACAATTCTTACTAAATATATGAGTTTTATTGCTTTATTTAAATGTATTTGATTTAAATTAATTATTTTTTTATTATTTTTATAGAAAATATGTATCAAAAATGAAAGTCTGGATTTATCAAAATAAAAGAGAAGAAAGTCAAATTTCTTTCTTTGGTTATTCAGACCTTCCTTAGTTAATTATAATTTCAGTCATGAAATTGAAAATATTCATTAGTTTAGTTAACTTTATTATGTTTTAAGCCTATGCTAAAACATTATTTAGTTTAAGAACTCTATTTTTTTGTTGATTAAAGAATGAAAATTTTCAATTTATGTACTTAGTGATTTATTTTTCAAAACCTTAATCTTGTAATAAATTCAAATTACTCATTGTTTAATTAAAAGTAATAGAACAAGACAAAATTTTTTTTTAGATTTTATTCTTTTAATTATTCGTAGTTATTAACTAAAATTATAGAAGTCTATACTTAAATAAGTTCAAAAAAAAAATGCAAATTTATATTCTTTTAATTTTTAGGAATTATTTAGTTAGTGATACTGGGGTTTGGTGGCCTGAAATGGCAGTTGATGCAAACTTCACGAAAGATTTAGTTTGTGCTACAACTAAACCAGAAGAGCAACTACCATTTTCAGTTCGCGTAAGTTAAATTATTAACCTATTAATAATTTTGCTTAAGTTAAATATATATTTTTATTTCAATGGTTATAATGTCAATAGATTGTCTGTGAAGAAGGAGTACCAGTATTCAATCGAACATCTCGTTCCGTTCCTAACTACACATTTAGAGTGGTGCCTCCTATAGTTATTCATAATTTTTTACCATTTGCTATTGAGTTGAATTTTCCTAACTCGAAGCATCTAATTGAAGCATCTAAAAAAATTGACGTTTATGAACTGAATCTCGCGNCTAAAAAAATTGACGTTTATGAACTGAATCTCGCTCATCGAATTTTTAAAGCTGAATTGATTGTTCCTTCCTACCTGGGTATATCCTGGACGGGTACATTTAATTTACGTAAAGATTTAAACGAAAAAACTGTGAATATGAGTACTGAACATGATACAGATGGCGGTAACAAGCATCTTAAAATAGCCGTAAAAGTTACTGATGAAGATTCTTGTCGTGTTTTCATTCATTCATCATACTGGATTGTAAATAAAACTGGTCTACCACTTCAATTAAGAGTAATCGAATCAAAATTCTTATTATAGTTGTTAAGTTTTAGATCAAAAATGATTTGAACTTTTGTTGTTATTTAGGGCTCCAGATCGGATATTGTTTACGAATCTCATTCTGAGGAACCAATATTATTTGCTTACAAGAGAATGAAAAAAAGAAACATTAAACTAAGAGCTTATCATTCGAGCTGGTCTTCTGCTTTTTCTATGGATACAGTATACTGTCCAGGGTTGGTAATTTGCAAAGATAAAGAACGCCAAAAAAAATACAGGATTCTAATGAAACCAATTTTATCAAACCTTTGTCCACATTTGACTACAATAGTGACATTTTTACCAAATTTCTCAGTGGCCAATAATTCGAATAGAAGCCTGCGGTTTATGGAAGATAACAAAGAAGCTGATTTGTGGACAGATATTTCACAAGGCCAGGTAATTTCAGTAAATTTTATTCTTATAAATTATCCCCATTCAAAATATTATTTAAATTTTAGACTTTACCATTTTGGCCTGAAACTGATTCGATGCGTATGTTTGTAAAGTTTCGAGATAGTAAATCAGGATCACAACATTTTTCAATAATTAAAGAGCAACAGACTGTTCTTAGAATGGATAGAGGAGTGTGTATTATTTATTGAGAATATTTAACATTTAAATTTACTTAAACGAAGAAATTTACTAATAAGATATTTTGTTTTAATTTTTTTTAGAGAGCCCTTGTAGTTAAAGTAACTGGCGGAGGAAACAACCCATTTTTGATAAGTTTTCATAAATTTCGACAAAATGATGTTCCAGTGAGGATAGATAATATGTGTGAAGACATATTCTTAAAAATACACCAAAAAAATTTAGGCCAGGTAATAGATAAAAATATTAAATGACATTGTTGACATTTTATAAATCACATTGTATAATACATAGTGTGAATTAATAAAAATTCTACCCTTAATTGTTCGTTGTATAATGAGTTTTTTATAAATGTATAAATTTAAATTTTATTTATTTTTAAGAATCATTGTAAATATCAAATTTATTGTGAGAAAAAGTTATTTCTTACGATTAACATACGAATAACTTTCGAAGGACAAATGGAAACCTATTATTACTTTACTATTTAATAATAAATGGTCTAAATAAAATTTTTAGTTGTCGATAACCTGTTTTAAATAATTACTTTTTGAGATATTAATTATCTTACAATAAATTGGTTATTTACTACTATGGTTCATGAAAACAAATCAAATTTTAATCTGTAAGTTTTTATGAAAAATTATTATTTAACGAAAAATGAGGAATAGTATTCTGAATAAATAACTACACTGTATATTCACAATCTGTCTCGAAGGTTATCGTTATAAAATGATGAAAGAATGCGAAGTGAAAAAAAATATTTAACGCATACAATATTGCTAAGTACTTCCCTTCCATTTCATACGACAGAGTTGTTTTTTTTTAGTTTTCTATGGACTACAAAAGCTCTTAAACTTATAACGGTCTTCTTTACCTTGTTGATCATAGTCTATCTGTATGTTCTAAATTCTCTAGAACTTATTCCATTTCAACTTTAAGTTGAATTTTGGAAACGCAAAACAGCCCGAAAGGCTTAACTGGTGAATATTCAGTGGTGGACAGTTAAAAACTTTCATCCACTAAAAAAAATTAGTTGAATTTGATCGTGTGTGTAGTTGTATAATTGTGCAATATAAAAAAAGTATGATCTTAACCTTTAAAAGATGGATACATGTAATGTATTACAATAATCGTTCCGAAACCCTCTTGTAATGTTTACTAATCACTGAAGTACCTTTTGACACTAATCCTTTATGAACAATAATTCCATAAAAGTAAAAAAAAATATATCAGAATTGTAATGGTGTTGTGGAAGAGTTGCTAACTATGTCTTCTAAACGTTCCAAAATTAAACAAACCACTAATGAATAGTTATTTCTTAAACATTTTAAACAATTATTTTGCGAGTAATCCCCAGATTAGAAACTAAATTTGAAAACCGTATGTTGTGTTATTTATAACCAATTAACATTAAATAATTTTGCCAATTCACGGTCAAGCAGCGTAAAATGTATGTAAAACTTTGATTTTTGTATTTATATTCATAAAAAATGCTAATTATAATATCTAAAGTTTCATAGAAGTTATTCCGGAAATTTTTGGACAGACTGTGTATATATACAATAAATTGATCAATTAGTTATTAGAAATATTAATTATAATTTACACAGGTTACATTGCTAAGCCCTAATCAATCTGTATTGTACACGTGGGATGATCCGACTGAAGAAAGGATTTTATATTGGAACGTGTACAGCAAAAAATCTAAGGGTTTTGTTGCGAAATTTGAAAAAGAGGGCTATGGACAAGAAAGATTAAGTTTCTGCCAAGTAAAACCTTCTGAAACAGCCAATAATAATAATAATTTAAATTTGATAAAGATTTTAACTAGTCAAACTCAAGAGCCTAGCGACACTAGTAGTGCTGAAGATTCTGATTCGGACGAACCCAGTTCTAAAGTATTTATAAATTTTTTTGAAAATTTCATAGTATTATTTAACATAAATTTTGTTTGTAGGTGACGTTTCAATTGTCAAAAACAAAAAAAGCTAAAATAGTTGTATACTGGGTGAGTTACGTTGAAGTTGGTGGTCAAAGAGTATTATTGTTTACTCAAGATGAGAAAACAGCGTCGGTCGCTCGAAAAAGAATAGAAAAGAGTAAATCATGTATTGATTTGGTTATATCTGTGAAAGGTGTTGGGTTATCATTAGTAAGATAAAAATATAGAGTTTATTGAAAATAAATAAAAATATTATTATATTTTAAGAGTACATGTCGCGGTGTTTACACTGAAGAAATTGCATATGCTAGTTTATCGGATTCAGCGTCTGAGTGGATGGTAAAAATTGGTAATACATGGAAACCATTCACGGTGGAACTAGCATGTTGGTTAGAGGAAATGTGGGATAATCATAATAAAAGAGCTCATCTTAAAGACTATGTTCATGTGTGTATATATATTTTTTTAATTTTTACTGTTTGTTTTTATTTTTTTAATTGAAATTTCCAATATTAAAATCTTTATACATAAATATTAACTTTTAGGTTGATTTCGATAAAATGCAAATGATTAAACCATTCTTTGGACAATTGCGCCGATTGTACAATCCAGCTGTTTGGAGCCATTGCAGATTTACCGCAAAAAATAATATATTTCAATTTAAAATTCATAGACTTCAAGTAATTTTTCTTTTTTATATATATGAAAAAACTTTGAAATATTTTTTTATCAATTAATTTAGGTGGATAATCAACTATCAAACTGCACTTTTAAAACAGCTCTGTATCCAACACCAGCTAACAAAATCTCATCGCGTTCTTTAAAACCTTGCTTAGAAATTGCTTATTCTAAAACTTCAGTGTCGTGTCATTATGATTTATATAAGCAAGTATTTTAGAAAAAGTAAAAAAAAATTGTATATAATTTGAACTTTATAGGTACATTTATATAAGTCTCCGTGATTTTACCGTGCAACTAGATCGTACGTTTGTAGTGAGTATGCATAAAACTTTGTCACCTTTCCTGGCTGTTTTTGAACGACCACTGGATGCCAGATTTAGACAAGACGTTAGTTCGCTTCATGCTACCGATATGCCACCGGTAATTCTATTTAAATATAACCAACCCTTCTTAATGTGTTCAAGTGGATCTTCTAAACTCTAATACTATTCTTGTTTAATATTCAGGGTAAAAAGTCAGGTCGGGTATACGTAGAATCATTTGATTGCTCTCCTTTTCACGTGCATTTAAGTTTTTCAACGAAACCATCAGAACACTACTCTCTAAAGAGTTCTAACAGTTTCACCACTGATGCATTATTATATGTACTTGACGGACATGCAAACCGTTTATGTGATTTGAAAACAGTCACTCTTGAGTATAGTTTAATTTAAAAGAGTGCCTATAATAGATTATTTAAGTTAAATTATTATTTTTTAGTATAAGTGGGTTAAGTCGCAAAAGTATTCAAAGGGAATCGTTTGAGTCAATTTTTGAATATAGTTTAAAACACTACGCGTGTCAGCTATTCAAACAAAGCCATGTGTTTATTTTTAATTCTGATGTGTTAGAAAATATATACGAGGTAAACAATGAACGGACGGACACTATAGAATCAACAGAAGTAAATAACACTATTACAATAATAAAGAACTTTTTATATGCATTGCAAACTATTTTCTATTTTCAGGATTATTTAGGAACATCATGCTGTTCTCAAATACAAGATACGTGTTCCGTGGAATACAATGGTAAATGGCGTTTTGCGTTATCGATACCTGAATGTGCTTTGGCAGCGTACAAAGGAACGGAAATGTCTGTCTTGTTATCTATGTCTGGAGCTCTCCAAAGACCTCATATTGGTTGTTATTAATACAGACACCTTTTTATACGGGTTTTATATTTAATTACTATTTTACAGGCGGTGAAGATGATGGAGCAGCCGAGGCGTTCTTTAGAGGACCCGGTCGGAATCTACTGGCAGTTTTGTCAAAGTCAAATGTGTCTGACAAAGTTTCAATGGCGTACGATGGTGTGAAACGGTAACGGAAATAAAATAAGACTAACTTGACATAATGACTAACATAAAATTAAAAGAAAGTTCATATTGTTATTTGTAGAGTCATTGAGTCTGGCGAAGAAATAGTGCTACGAACAAGACTTCCAAGATTCATTAATCCATTGGTTTGCTATTATAATTAAAGTAAGATAAAATTCTAATTTAATTTGATAATTTTTATAACGTTTTTAGGGTATGAAAAGTTATAGCTCATATGAAGCAGTAGGTTTGCACTTATTTAAACTTCTTAGTCGTTCGTCAACAAACGATAGTTATTGGGCGCATGTAACTTTCTTGCCTGAAGGGAAAAAAATACTTCTCATTACTTTAAGGTAAGTCACCTCCCATTAGGTTATTATTAAAAAGTTAATTTTTTTATTATATGATTGTTTTAGACGAATAATATTAACAGAGAAATGTCGCACAAAAGGTCCATGGGAAATTGAATGGAGTGTGTATGTAGATAATATTATAGAGGTGCCAAAAATCGAAGATATGAAACTAACATTTAAAATTCGTCAGGTAAGAAAATTATTCAACCAAATTTTTTTAAGTGTATGTATTTTTAACTTATATGTGTAGGATGAACACCATTCCAGTTATTTCTTTAGAGGAGACGAAAAATGTATAGAATATGACGATAAAGAAACCTTAAAATGGATTAAAGACAAAATAGAACAAGTCATGTTGTTAAATCAAGAAGATAAACCTCTGAAATAATAATCACTTTCACTATTTTTCAATAGTAGTTTAGATTTTTACCGGCCCTCCTAATTTTATCTACATCCAACGCATTAAGCTGATACATATGTAATATCTCAGTCTTATTACAATATATTTTTATCGTCTACAAGTTTTTACATATAACACATAAGTATTATGAATGACAATTAACGTAAGATAATATTATGCACACAAATATCCTACGTTATTTACAAATCTAATTAATGTATAAATTATACTGTGTTATTAAAAGAGTTTAATAAAATACTGCTTTAACGATTTCTTGTGAATTTATAATAACAATTTATTTATACAAAATATGTGCTATGTTATAAAAAATTGTATATTTAAGATATTATTATTATTATTGATATAAGTATGTTCGATAATAATTTTAAGTTTAAAATTAAAAATATATCTAAAATATTGACTCAAAACTAAAAAATATTAACAATCAATTGTTTTTATTAGTATACCACAAATGACATCTAAAGTTGAAAAGATAAAGTCGAAAAAAAATATTACAATAAATTATTTTATATTTTAACTCTATAATTTCAATTTATCGTGAAATTTGGTATTTATTTATTTGAAATTTAACAGATAGATTTTTTATTTATATTGGTATTTTTAGATAAAAAATTTAAATAATACACAGTAGATAAATGAAAAAAAAAAATGTTGTTTTTTTTTAATATAATTCTAATATTAATTCTTAATAAATTGTTAGTGATAGCTTTACTTGCATATGAAAACATTTTGATTATTCTTATAATAAGCTTTTATGGAAAACTTTTTTTTTATGTTAAAAAACACAATAACAAGAGTTAAATTTTTGAAAAGTTCATATTAATGTGTATTCTATTTAACGAAAATTTTAAACCGAATTAAGTAAAGAAGTTCACTTTAATTTTAGGANATTTAACGAAAATTTTAAACCGAATTAAATAAAGAAGTTCACTTTAATTTTAGGAGTAAAAATTTATTTGAATTATGTTTAAAGAGTTAATTTAGATTATTCAATTTGACACTTTCTATTTTGTTCCTTTGAGCATAAATAATTTTAATAAGAATAAACGGCGTTGAACATAGGCAATTTCACTACATTAAGGAGTACAAGGTCAGCACCGTTTGAAGTGTAGAGTAAACGTTAAAATATATTTTCCTTATTGATTATCGAATTTTACGTCTTAAAGCACAAATCGATAATTTTAGTTTTTTATTCTTTTATTAAAAGAAATAATGTTTCATCACACTCCATTCAATGATTAAAATAAGGTTTTGAAATTAATAATAAAAAAAAAAAAATCATAGTTGTTTTATAATCATAAATATTCATCAGTTAGACCGGCAATATTGTTTGGTGCCAATTTGCCATATTGTTTTTCATTTTTTCGGTCGACTTGCTGCTCCTACTGATATCTGGCTTCCAAACGATAATTATTTTATACTACTACGAGTATACCGCCTGTCTTCAGTCAAGAGAGGCCATCTCTTCTCTCCTCTCGTCGAATTACCGGTAGGAAAACTGTGGCAGAGTAGGGCGTGTATTTTTCGGAATCGATGCACTCGCGATTGGTTGGGCGTGAAGCGTTCTGCTTCGGTGCAATGTGACTCACACGGGGATGGTCGTTGGCGGTAGTAAGGAGATCGGAGGATGATGCGGAGAGCAACGGGAGCCGAAAATCAATGAGCCCCCTGACCTGCCGGTGAGACCGCTCGTACAGCTTCCAGTCCCGGACCAGCAACCGCCGTAAGCGCAACATTTCGGGCACTCATGTCTGGCTACATGTCATAACGGGGTTCTCGCACGTATGACTGATGTGCCCTTTTGTCAAACGTAAACAACACAGGTATATCAATGGGTCACTAATAAACTGTAAAATATAGTTTGCCAGTATAATATTTACATTGTGTTTTATAGTATCCTTATTTTTACAATCAACACATCAGAGTGCTGATCTCAATGCTGCAGTGCACTAGACATATTATAATGAACGCATGCTATTTTCCTCCCCCTACCCATCAAGTATCCAATAATCGCGGTGTGTGTTTATTTGTTATCCATAGACTATGTAGTTGTAATTTTCTCTGTGCATGTTGTGAGTGTAGAGCTGAATTTACGATCAACCTGACCAATTGTAAACACATATCATTTAATTTTGAAATTTTTTTGTGTGGTGTCGAAATTACGTTTGTGTTACCTACCGAATCGTATGTTTTATTAACGACCATAATTGTTTATGTACAAAATGTGTTTACGAAAAAACCGTAGTTTGAAGTAGCTGTTGTTTGTTCGCTACATTAATTTTTTTATCACGAGAACAAATCTCAAAGGAGCATAGAGACTAAATCCGTTTTAGTGGAGGATTTTGTAAGCTATAATTCATCTTCAGCAGTTCTATTGTCAACATTATAGTTAATTAAAGGATTACATGTAGTAAACCATGACGCTCAGGAAAATGGATTAGATGGGTATAATATCTTATAGTCAAAGATAACAATAGATGTCACCTGAGGATGGTTCGCATTATTTGCTTTCTTTTTAATTTGCTGTATTTTGTTAAATATTTTATTCTTAAAAATAATTACATAAATATTATTATAAACACATTTCATTATTTTAATTTAAGTGAAATATCCAAACGAGTTTATTTTAGTTGTCATATTTCATACAATATAGTTAATAACTACATGTATCTAATATATCTACGATAACGCCCAATAGATAGCGAAATACACTAGTTATTGTCGGCTACTGTGAAGTTTTTAAACTTTCCAAGTTTGTTAATAAAATATAAAATAGGAGCACACGTTCGAAAAACTTTGGCATATTTTATTTTGTTTTATAACGTGTATCATTCTTTTTACGTTTTTACCCTGTGGTTGTAAAGTAGGATTACCTTGGAAAACCGCATTATCCTTTCATATTGACGTTCAAATCCTACTTAATATTCTGTAGCAATTCTAAAACATTTTTTATTTATTTATTTTTTTTAAGTATTATATTGAAATAATTTATCATTTAAATAGTACCGTTAAATAGATATTTCATTATAGTTACAATTTCAATACTTTAATGTTCAGAAATTACACTTACAAACATAGATTAATATATTTATTGTTTTATGCTAAATATGAATAAAAAAGTGGACCTCATGGAAAGAAAGTTAATTTTTTTAAAGAAAATTTACACATTGCTGTTACAAAATTTTCAGTTATTTAGAACCTTTTTATAAATGGTTTTGAGATACACAAATTTTATATTCCCTTTATAGGGCGTTTTAAGGAGGGTATTTGTCCGCGCAGAAGTTTTGAGGGGGTAGTAATTCTTAATAACGTTAATATAAAAACGTGTTATTATAAATGATAAAGAAGAATGATAACGGTAGCTAAATTGTAAAATTTGTAAGCTGAGGGATAATTCCCCTAGACCCCCTCAACTATGTACTATATACTGGTCTGCTAATGTTTTCTTGTATTACTATTATTCATGTATCTTAGTGATATTGAAGGTACAGATTTTTAAGCAAATGAATATTTTTCAACGACCTATTTAGAACAATTTTGATTTAAAATATTGCGTTTTTCAATGACATTATAAATTTACACATTGTATACATTTTAAATATAATTTTTTTATTTCAGTAAAAATGACTAGAAATATTTCTATATGACTCTATTAAAGTTGCATTTTTAGTAATATTAAAGATATCTTTTTTTAAATTTTGCTTTAAGTTGTAAAATGAAAAAAAAAATGTTAAAATTTTTATTTAAGCAGATTTATACGACTATATTTTGATTAAATAGTTGAAAAAACTTAAATTCAACATATTTTCTTATTAAAAAATATTTTCAGCAGCACCATAATTCGATTCTTTTATATTTTAATCGAACTATACGTAATATGTAAGTGAAAGACATGACGAGAAAAAATTTATTTGTTCGGTATAAAAAATTGTTGAGATATTGAGGGGCACAAAATGTTATTATATTTAAAAACCGGTATCATGATTATCGTTTAATATCATATTGTCTGATATCGTAGAGAAATAAATATGTGTGGGAAAGGAGTAGGCTGACAAAAGCTAAGGGATATAATTGAGAGAGTTGCGTAAACGTGTAAATACCTCGATTTGTTAACTGTCTTATGTTTAATTGAGATTATGTTGTTAATTATTATAAGAAAATTAGGTTTTTTTTATGAAAATTAATGTATATTACATTAAAAGTTAAGTAATAGATTTAATTTGTTTTGTATAATTCTTATTTCATGTTGAGTTTTTTCAAAACATTGTTCATAAATTAAAATAATTTGAGTAAAATATTAAATTTATAATTACTAAAAATGCAACTAGCAATACCATTTTTAGAGACCTTTCTCAAATGTAAATGTAACAAAGTAAATGTATTTATTTTTTTGAACAAACCTTTTATAAATTATGATAGTTTTGAATTTGATAGATTGTATTGAATATTAATTATATTACTCATTGAGCTTAATTAAAAATTATTCAATTTTAATGATTATGTTAATGAAAATGTAATGAGTTAAATGAAAAAATAATTTTAAAAATGACTTATAAATTCGTTTATTTTGAATATTTTTGAATATGTCAACTAAAATTTTTATTAAATTTAATTGTCATATACGGACAATTTTTAAATACATCAAACATTTTTCCTGGTATATCATGTGGTGACTTAATTGGTTTTACAATAAACTTCCATACGTTTTAGGTAATAATGTTTGTCAACGTAATTCTCTCGTGATAATTGTAACATTTAAGCATGTGCAAATTATTTCATTTGAACATTTATCGTTCTACACATTCGTATTATTACACTTAAAGCTTATACAACGTGCAGTCAACTTCGTGTCGATATCTTATTTCTATAGTACCTTCACGATTCAAATCCGATTGTAGAGCACTTGTGCATTACTATCCTTTTGTATGACTAGAGTTGTTTAAAATGCGTTGACATATTTGATACTAGGTACAATTATAATTGACGTAATTCCTATTGAAGCATCGGATTAAGAATTAACATAATAAGAGTCGCTCGTGTATTAAACAAAATTCTGGAAATTATATTACATATGTGTGTGTGTGTCTGGAGGATATTTTCATTCAAGGTTTTATTCAGCATTATGTCATAAGTTTTTGAGAGACATATGCTTTAACATTTGTTTAATAGTGATTTATTTAACGTTCACAGTATAGCGATATTAATGTGCGACATAAATTTTATGGAACTACAAAAAATGGCAATTCATTTTCTGTAAATAATTCTTAAACAAAATATGTATCTCTTATTGTGTTTACTTCATTGGTGGCTTACATTTTGTAGTGCAAAATTTTTTTGTAAAAATTATAAGTATTTTGTAATTCTAGTTTTTTTTTTTATGACTGTCGAATACGCGTACACACTAAATCGCTTTTCACCAGTAACATTAAACTGTGAACGTATCCAATAACTCGGATAATATCGTCACTATAAGTTCTCGTAGCAATAACTTAAATAGAATAGTATTACACTTCAAATGGTTAAAACGATTTTATAAATGCTTACTTTAAAATCAATAGCCGAATTGAATAAATACATTAATCGGTCAATATTTTAGCTGTTTATTATCCATAAAAAATAATTATCCGCAGAACTCATTCGTAATCACATAAAATTTACTTTTACAAAATAATATTAAAGTGTTATTGGATATCATATTATAAACTTTGAATAACTGGAGCGCTTTTGGGATAAACCCAAGAGGTAAAACATAAAAAATGGTAATTTGAAGAAGGGATTAGTTTCAAACGATCTGTCTGAATGTGTAATTGAATACACACCCTGGGTTATTAATTTCACCATTATTTGAGTAAATAAATATTTTATTTATTAAATTGAATCAAATTAAATGAGTTCACAGATTTTTTTTTTTTTATTCATCAAATTCATTATTAAAATATAATTGAAGACCGCAAGGCATTAATTTGCTTTGAATGTATTAAATTCAAAACGAAATTGCATAATTCAATTCGAAATGTATTTTGGAAAGTATAAACTTCCGTTTTAAGTCCAATTATTTTAATTCATTTGACAGCCTTTGAGTTATTTATCTTATCTCTACTAAATCTAGCTATCGCCTGATAAAAATATAGTTTTCACTCGAATTTCATATTAGTTTTTAATGGATTTTGTATGATAAATAGTGTGTATAGTATCAATTAAATTTCATAATACATTTTAACTTTTTACAATTGAAAAAATGTAAATTTTTTTTTTCATTTTCAATAAATCAATTGACATATTTTCTGAGTGACTAATCACTTTTTTTTAACATTGTTGTTTTTGTAGATCGAGAGTCACGTATGGAACGTGATAGACAGCGCAGACGATGAGGACACGTATGGCCGCGCAATGAACGCGCTCGCGGCTCGGGCGGCGCTGTCAACATTGTACACATCATCGACGTCTACTTTGGCGGCTGACTACCATGCGTGGACAACGGTGGCGGCGACAGCAAAGGCGGCGGAGGTGGCAAACACTACCGAAACACCGTTTTTCGAAACCGAACTCCGGTTTACGGTGTCCCAGATGGTGTTCGTCGCGCTTGTGTCCGGCGCGCTCAGTTGCATCACCGTGGTGGGCAATCTAATGGTTATGCTGTCGTTCAAGATCGACAAACAATTGCAGAATATAAGCAACTACTTCCTGTTTAGCCTCGCGTTGGCCGACTTCTTCATTGGGCTCATATCCATGCCGTTGTTCACCATCTACACCATACTGGGATACTGGCCGTTCGGCCGACACGTGTGCGACGGATGGCTTGCGCTCGACTATCTGGCCAGCAACGCGTCAGTACTGAACCTGCTGTTGATAAGCTTCGACAGGTACTTCTCGGTGACCAGACCACTAACTTACAGAGCTAAGCGGACTAGAGGCAAAGCGTTGCTGTTTATCTGTAAGTAGAAATTAGGGTTGTAAGCCACTGACTGGCTAAACGAAATCTCTGTGCGGTGTGAATAATTAACCACTCACATAATACACAGTAGTGTTACCACACATGAAGACATTTACAGTGTTGGGCATTTCGTTGTTATCCATTCCTAGTTATACCCATTAAGTGAGTTTATCTGAACATTCACGATTGTCAATGTGCTCGTTGGGACGTATTCAGACATACCGCCGACTGTTTGAATTACTTGAGCTTGCCAATGTTGGTTATTACTAGGAACAGTAGAATGTCTTAACTAAACAGCTTATGGGCCATTAAGGAAGTGTCGTTAGGTTGATTAATGAACGAGGGTTTGACAGGCGGCGTGCAGAGTAGAAAAACATAAATCTCCGACGTGTGGGAGGAAGAATAAAGAGAGGACCGAGTGAAAAAGCGGCCAGCCGTTTGCAATATTTTAGAAGGTTTTTATTAAACTATGTACTCGGTTGAGTGGTTTAGTGGGTTTTAATTTTTGTTTACCTTTGATTCGAACCGCAATTGACTGTATCGTCGGTTTCAGCCGCCGTATGGTTCATATCACTGTGCTTATGGCCGCCGTGGATTTACCTGTGGCCGATAATAGAAGGCCGACGAACCGTTCCGGAAACGCAATGTTACATACAGTTCATAGTGACCAATCAATACATTACTTTCGGCACGGCCATCGCGGCTTTCTATACACCGGTGACGGTCATGTGCATCGTGTACTATCGCATCTACATGGAGACCAAAAAGAGACAAAAAGACTTGCCAAACTTGCAAGCCATGAATAAGCCGCGCAAGTGAGTGCTTCGTGAAATTTTTTATCACGGGGGAAAAAAAAATAGCCGAAAAACTAATATTGTGTTTTTTTCGTCTTCTGTTTATAGTGATCCTCAGCAAGAGGAATCGTGGGCTCGTATTCGGTTGGATCAAGGCAATTCGTTGGATCGACGAGAAACTTATGAGACCAGCTCGTTGCGAAAAGCTTACTCTCAGTGTTCATTGGTAAATATGTCTATAATTAACTTTAATAACATGTTATAAACTTATTCGAAGGAATTTAATATATAAAATATTAGCGTATATTAATTCGTATGCTATTTTTTAATTTGATGATTCGACTTTTAATTGATCAATGCGGTACATGTTGATTTAATTTTTTTCATTAAAGACGTAATTTATTATTTACCATATAATTTTTCATTACTCATTAATCTAAATCGATAGTTACATTTACTTTGTTTGATCACAGTTAGGACAGGAAAACATTACAAACAACGTTATAATTATTATGTTTAAAATCAAAAATATTCTTAGAACATCGAATACCAAAGAACTATGTGATTCCGATAAACGTAAAGTATCGTTAAACATAAAAATTGAATAACGTTAATAATTAAGCTCAATTATTAGATAATGTTATAATCATAGACGCAACTAGATATTTTTATGATACTAGGCATCTTGAAACATATCTTTTTGGTTTCCTTCAGATTTTTTCATGATTGAAAAACATGGGCAGAATTAGAGATGGGTTTTGTGAGCGAAGTCTCTTCAAAAATAAAATTAGCCCCTTCCGAAAATTATTAAAATGATACCTAACGTTACTTGTATAAAAATATTTTTTAAGGTGAAATTATAAGTAGTCTCCAAAGATTTTTTCCTACTACTTTGGGGAAAATATATGGAAGAGAGATTTCTATTATCTCGTGTATTCTAAGTATAACCGTATCTCTGAAATATAAGCATTTTCATGTTTGATGATTTTGATCTTTATTCCGCCTAGGTATGCCCTGGCACTTATACCAAAATAACATAGAGGAATTGTGATGCAGTTATACATCGATTTGTTATATGACTGTGAAAAAGGAGTTATTTACACAAACAGCAATTAAATTTTTAACCATTAAAATTATATTAATAATCTAAAGTTTTTTAATAATAAAGATTACAAAAATATAAAAATTGATTAATTGTAGCTAATATTGTTTAAAATATATTTAATATAATAATTTAAAAATAAAAAATATTAAACTCAAAAAACTACGAATTACCAACAATATCACGTACATGTATTTTGGCAACAATGATTCCATTATTATATTATGATTTTACATATATTTTTTATTATAAATATAAGATTTCAATGATAAATTAAAATTAAGGACCTCATAAGCCTGGGCCATGGCCCTGTAGACCTAGGCAGTAGTTCCGCCTATGGTCACAATATGTTAAATGTAATATAAACGTTAATACTATATGATTGTGGAAACTTAACTTGGTATTGATTTAAAAAAATCTATTTCGTAGAATAATTACCACTACAAAGCCGTTTATTTTCTAAGTAGAATGAATAATGATTAAATTTTGTTTTCGAAGCTAGTGAATATTTTTGATGACTTTTGCAGAAAGCTAGACGACTGTTGACGTGGTCTTGGCTTCGCGACTGGTGTGTGGACTGGTGGCACTCAGGTCGGGATGATGACTATGACGAGGAAGACGATCAAACCCCTAGCGACGTGCCAGGTGGCACCAGCTATGGGACTACGGTGTCCAGGTCGACTTCCCTAAACGTCATTCATCAGCAACCCACTACACCACCACCGCTTAAGTCTTATCACGCGGTCAACAACAACAGGTTGGCTAATAGGTCGTTGTCTAATGACTCGGTGAGTTAGTTGCTCTGAATGAGTTTTATTAATTAGATATATTAGATTATACTTGAATCGCCGGGGTCATCCCTGAGAAGAAGTGGGGTAATTTCAGTCTCTTTTCTTGGTAATTTTAGTTTAAGACGGCCCCGTCAGTCATAAAATATATTTTAATACTTTTCCCCAAAAATGTTCAAACTGTACTAGATATACGATTAGTGTAATATTATTAGGACGAAGCGCTTTAACATAATTTTAATCGTGATGAAAACATAACTAATACATTCACTAAACATAATTAACTAGTTTGAATAATAACAACACGTTCTAATTAACTGGGATTAATCAAAGACTTAGTAAAGAGGGTGCTGTTTCATGCAACTTGCGTATGGTTTGCTAAGGATTACTCATGAAAGATATTATATTCATATTGAGGACAAAAGAAGCTCCAATTTAATAGGTCACGTCATAAATCAAATAAATACAGTTTAAAGGAAATAAATAGATATTTATACACTTCAGTATTTAGTAATACTATTCTGTGTATCGTTGAATAATTTGATATATGTAGTTTCAGTAAGAGTTCATTCTAGAAGAAACACGTTAGTTATATACCATTATAAATTTAATTTTCGACTAAATGCTATCATCCATTTTTTAAAAAGCAGAATTATACAGCAAATATATAAAAAAAACACTTGAAGATTACGATAAAATATAAAATGTAATTTGCTTAAATTCTCAATTCCATTTGTATGATGATTGAAATATTATTATATAAAATGTGTAATAAATTTAGTGGTTATTTAAAGGAAAGAATACACACCTATTATTTTTAATCGATTAACAATAGATATAAGTAAAATGGCTGATTTTTTGAAATCGAAATTAAAGTAGAAGTATACTTTCAAAAAGTTTTCTTCGTTATATCAAAATTTATTATTATAAAAATATATTTATAATTAAAGTATATTCAGCATAAAATCAATACCCTCTCAGCTACGCTTGCAGTTAAAATACAAAGTGTCCCTTATCTAGGCCATTATAAATTTTCTCTTAGTAATTAGTACATTGAATTATTTTCTGAATATCTATATGTTTTTAAATAAAAATTTAAAACTTTTAACTTTATGATAATTAAAAATGAAAAACAAATAAAAACGATAAATTATATATTTTTTTAAAGGTGTACACCATAGTGATCAGACTGCCAGGGGATAGTGATCAGGAAGTGCCGACGGTCAGGCAGTACAGCGGTTGTTACGAAGAGCCAAATCGAAGGTCTGGACCTATGGTGCGACGACCGTCGTCGCAGGATATGCGGCTTCCGTTGAACGCCACTAAAATACTGCCCAAGCAATTGGGCCGAGGGCCTACGGCGGCTGCAGCGGCCGCGGCCGCATATACGGCCAAAGAGAAAAAGAAGAAAAAATTTCAAGAGAAAAAAAGCGAGAGGAAAGCGGCCAAGACGCTGTTAGCCATCTTGTTGACGTTTATTATCACCTGGACGCCGTATAACGTGCTAGTTTTGCTCAAGCCGTTCGCGGCCGGCGATAGTGCAGAGTCGGACGCTGGCAAAGTATGGGCTACGCAAGGCGTGTGGGATTTTTTCTACTACCTGTGCTACATAAACAGTACAATCAACCCGGTGTGTTACGCTCTGTGCAACGCCTCGTTTCGCATGACCTACGTGCGGATACTTAAGTGCAAGTGGAATACTAGAAGACAGCCGCCGCCACATTTTCGAGCTTGAAGATCGGACGACATCGTTTAATGCCAATTGTAAAAAATTATTTACCAATAACCAAAGCGGTCGACCAATACTTTAAGTCGGATATTCCATATTTTTGGTAAAAAACAAAAAAACTGCTCGAGTTCAAGCGGTAAATACAAACGAACGAGCAACTCCATGACTTTGTACATTAGTCTGTACGTATATGGTCAAAGTTTCAACGGTGTTCGTGGAGAAGTGCAGTCTTGAAATATTAACCTTCAAGTCGTTTAACTTTGTCCCTGAATCCTACAGAGAATACCACCAACCAAATACGCCTAAGAATTAAAGTTATTGATACTATAAATATTATGTTAAGTAATATTATTATGTTGCACGCTCGGAAGTCGGCCGGGGTAAATAAATGACTAAATCAGTTTTGGCTGCCATAGTCATGTGGCGCAAGTGTAAACATTGAGAAAACCGAATGGCAAGTGCAAAAGCCTCCGAGTAGTTTTCATTTCGGTTCACATGAAGGTGTCGGTAAAAAAAACAAAAGTGTTTTAACAGATTCTCTGTTAAAAAATAATATACGAGAAATCAAAACCGACATTTTTCATACCAAGTGAGTCGTCCTATGAGCTTAAAACATTTTTATCGCGAGGATTATAAATTTATTTGTTCTGTTATGTATGCCTATAATCTTAAGTGTTTTCCTCGCTGTTCAACTGAGCGTGTATACAAAAACCAAACGAATTTTGCAATATATGTAATAGGTTTATAACTTTTTTTTGTATTTTTATTCGTTTTTATCTGTAATTTAAATTTTATACTTCAAGTGTAAAAGATTTATCTCGTTTGTCGCTGTAAAATATATATATATATATATATGTGTGAACAATAAATATTTGTTTTTATTTTTATCATCAATAATTTCAATTTGATAAGGCAACTGTTTAGCCATAGACGTCGGGTGATGAAATATTTTTTGTAGGAGGGCTAAATTTATTATCTCTCCTTCCAAAAAATAAATTTTAACTATACATATAATTTTGTTAAATTTTTAGAGGGCTAAATTGTAAATTGTAGGAGTAAGCCCCCTAGTCACCCATTCTATGTCTATAGGTTTAGCAATACGCAACTAATTGTTGAGTGATTGGCAATGTACAATTATTATAGATTATTTTTAAACAACAAAATCTAAATGTGATAGGAAAAGAATTTAAAGATTTTACATGAAATATTAAGACGCGGGTCTTGTGAGTGGTTTTTAACTTACAATATTCAAAATGATTATAATACATAACTGGAACAATTAATTATATTTTATTAAGAACGTAAAACAAATATTATTTGTACCGTGGGACAATCAGGCATCCGTTAAGGAAGGATAAGGGCTCGTACAAATTTTTGTTATCCCAGATATGAATCATTGCGCACGCCTATAATAGAGAGCAAGATAAATAAAATATGAAAGTAATAAATACCATTATAAAACGTTTAAAAATTTCTAATAAAATAATTAATATTAAATCGTTTAACCATAAATAAAAAAAAAATGTAGAATTACCGAAGAGAAAGAGTTTATAAGGTTGCATGTTAATAGTAGCTTATGTTTTATTTTCTTACAGATTGAAAAATGTTTTAATGCTTTGAAAGTATATATTTAATTTTTTCTAGTACTAGTCAAAAGATAAAAGCTACACTGAGCCCCATTGAATCGACTTTTTGCACACACTTTAAGAGTTTGAATTGTATAATTTTATTTTGATCCTAAAACATGGACCGCAAAATGAGTCGACAAGTACACTTTTTATAAAACAAGCGATTGTTTACTATGAAAAAAAAGAACATTTTTTCATAACATTTAACTGGTACACTCAAAGCTGTATAACGGTTTAATAGCGGCAATGAGATTGTCATGTTTTAGTGAAACAAAAATCTAAATTTTTTATTAATTGTTCATCCTTTTAATGAAAAAAAAAGTTTTTTGCTGTATATGTATAATTTTGTCATTGTCAGCGTTAAGTGGGGAGACGTTATATTGCCACTTAAGTTAGGTACAAGTTTCGAAGCTGAGTGTAATTTTTTTAATTATTAAGAATTATTAGTGAAAATATACTTACACAACTTAAAATCTCAATACCCTATGAATATTTAGTAATTTATAGAGTATCGCAACAAAAATGTTTGATATTAAGTAGTTTTAAATGGTGAATTGACACAATTGATACATTTTTTATTTAAATTACTATACTACTTTATAATTATTTTAAATTTACTAAACTAGATATGTAAAATTTCTGAAATCATCAATAAGTTTAAAGTATATACCTATTCGGACATTAAGTTATTTGTAAAATTTAATTATACAATGTTAAAATGATCTTTTTTACTATAAATTTTTTAGATAGTAATGTAAATTGGCGTCGTGACATAATAATAATCAATTTTATCCAGCATTTATTAAAAAATAAATACTGAATGTGCTGATATATTCATATAAAATACAATTTTTTAGAAATCCAAATGTAATTTCATCCCATCCAGTTTATCGACAAGATACTTATCACATAAAAATAGTCTGTTCGATATTTATTGATATAACTTATTCGATGTTGATAACTATTGATGGGCATTTTCAAATATTTTTTTAACAATTGATTAACTATTCGAATTGTGTTTATACATCCGAATAGATTATTTTTAGCATAGACTATCGAATAGTTTTTAAAACTATTCGAATATATTGTGTAACTATCGAATAGTTCGATAGTTACTATTCGATATTTCCAATCACTATTGATAACCATCCAAAATCACGGTTAATATAGTTTTATTTAAATATATTAATATATTTAATTGAATATTATATAGCATCTTCTCACTAGTTTCATCTGTTATCCCAATTAGGTTTTATAGTTTCTTAACTATGGTATACAGATAGCAAAAATATCGTTTTCAACGGTTTTCTTATGATAATAAAACGTGATAAGAATCCAGGCCTGCTGTTAGCATTGGTCGTTGTGTTGTACTGCACACTTAGCAGGATTTTAGTATTCGGCGGGTTAGTTGCTCCTGGTTACCCACATGTTGTTTTGTGTCATTGCCGTTCGTCGGAGTTTTCAATTTAATAATTTTAACTTGATTTATCTTTTCTTTTTAGTTGTTTACTTATTTGTCCATGCTAAAAACAAGGCCTTATGTGTTATTAATCGTCATTTTCTATTCCGCGTATTCATTTTTGTGACTGCCTAATATAATCTTCGACTTTAATAGTTGTTATCCTGTTGATATGTTTTCATTTTTAAATTTTTTTAATTTCAAGTCTGATTCAGATAAAGTTAAATCTACGGATCCACTTAGTGGGAAAACATTAAATCTCAATAGTCCTGAGGCAAGAGCTCTTAATATTTTTAACCAGAAATTGCCGATTTCTCGAAGAAAAAATGGAAATAATACTCCATTTAGGTAAGTGTATGGTATAAAAATTAATTATTAATTTGATAAAAAATTTTATATCATTTATTTTGTAGACCAAATTGTATAGCTGAAGTAACAAGTCCTGGATTTAGTTATCGAATAGCTCAAAGAGCTCGAGAAATGAGATCTACAACACCAAATTCTGATATTTCAAATTTATCAGTATCGTATGCTTCAGAGTATGTTATTTTAAGAAATTATGTTGTTCATGAGTTCCTCTTATAATATTTGATACATAATTAAATTTTTTAATAGGAAATACTTTTAATTTGACAAATAACTTTTTTTAGAAACAATTATAGTAACAGTAATTCTTCTCCACATGAGTTTCAAAATTTAGGTAGAGAAAATCCTAATGATAAAAAGCGTAAATTAATGGAAACATTAGACAATTTTGGTGTAAGAAAAAAAACTAGCCAAGAGGTATACTTCTATATTAATAATATTTGATAAAGTAAAGATATTTATCATAGATATACTAAAATTATTATTTTTTGAATAGTTTGGTGTTGATAATTTTGTAAATTGCCGTACAAAAACTATTGAGTCAATTGACCGAATTATTCCATTGAATGGTATAGATAAAACAAATAGAGAAATTTCACATTCACCATATATGACACCAAAGAATAATCATGTTATTTTTGATAAAAAACAGTAAGCATATAATAATTTACTTTTTTAAACATTGAAAATACTTTTTATATTAATATGTACAGGAAACCATAAAATTAGTTCATCCATAAATTAACTATTATGGTAATAATTTGACTTGTAATATAATAAATTTTTTATTAAGTTATACAGAAGCTTGCTTACTGAATAGTAAAATTTTGATTTTTGTGTTGGTATTGGGTTCTAAAAAAATATATATTAAAAATGTGAAACACCATCAACATCATCTGTTAAGGTGTATAACATTGAAAAAAAAAAATTACAAAATATTTATTTTTATTGAAAAATTATCGAAAGAACTCTTTAATATAGTAAAGTTTTTTTGCATAATATAATTTTTAGCTTTGGGCGAGGGTTTATGACATAACAATAATTAACATTTTAACTATATGATATTTTAATATTTTAGTAGAGTTCAGTATTTTCCCAGTATTTAATAACTATTTTAACATATATTTAGTAACATAAAATTATAAAATAAGTTGCCTTATTTTTAACCAAGAAAAATTGATTTTTAATGATTCATAAACATTTATTAATAAATATTTATTTATTAGGTTTATCAAAATTTTAAAGTTACTATTGCTATGATTTTTATTTTTAATGAATAAAATAGTTGTTTATAAAACTTAAAAAAGAGGTACAAAAATAAATCTCTAAAATATCTATTAGTCATTAAAATAATTTTTTGATTTTTACAGTTGTTATGTTTATATTTTTAATAGAATATTAATCTGTATGAATTGTGAATAGATCTAATTTGGAAACAGATTTTGACAATAATGAGCAATTTTTGAGTTCTTAATTAATAATTATGTGTGATTAAATATTAATATGNCTAATTAATAATTATGCGTGATTAAATATTAATATGTATTCTGTTTTCATTTTAGAAATAAGAGACAGAGTGATACTGATGTTAATAGTCATCATTCATATAAAAGACCTAAAACTCGCAATAATGAAATTTTGAGTTCTTATAGTTCAAGTAAATTTCTTCAGTCATCAAGACAGAAAAGAACTTATCCTCTTGGTTAGTTTACTAAAATTATTTTAATATTTAAGTTAATAAAAAGTTTTTTGTTTTAAAAAATTTCTTTATTGCTTTTAGACCCAGAGGGTGATGATTCTCCTTGCCGAAAACATTGTAAAAGTTGTACTTGTTGTGGTTCAACCGATGATAATAATAAGTCAATTAAAATTGACAAAACTACAGAAACTGATTTAGCTGGAGATCTTGTAACAGTTGCAGCTAGTAGAATATTCAATAGAAGTGGAAAAACACAAGTTGTTAAAAGAATTAGTATAAAAAGTGTATTAGATGAAGTATTTGATGAGCCAGATCCTACACCTTACACAAGTATTGAGAAAATAGAACAAAAAAAGAATAATGCTGTTAAAAAGGGTATTTTTTTTTATACATTTTTAATAATAGTAAGTTATAAATAAGAGTAAAATTCTGTAATTATTTCTGTACAAGCTTTGGTAACATGGTGAGCGGAAAAAATGTTGTAGAAATGAATGATAAAAGAGTCAACACTTGATTTTCAGATGCTCTATTTTAACTTTTAATTAGAATTCAACAAAATAATTATTAACACATAACTTTCACAATGGTTACATAGATTTACGATTTACTTATTAACAGGTGGTTTGCAAAACCAAAAGCTCTGACATATCATTGTTCTGACTTGCACTCTGCCATTTTCAAACTGTCTTGTCACGGTAGTAGAATGGGTTGAGTCAGCCAGTAAATTTATAGGCCAACACCAATATTCTGATGTTCTTAATACTAACTAAATTATTAACAAATGTAAAAAAACAATAATGTAGTAATTCATTGGTTTGTACAAATTTTTAAAGTATTGATCTACAAAATGGTTTTAAAAATATATGATTATACAACAACTACTTGAAATAAAATTTAAAAACTATTATAGTATATGTAATATCTTAAATTTTTAATATTATATTAATTTTAATACTTCATTTTCATCAGGTACATCCACCAATGAAAAAAATAGTAGTGAATTAAGCATTAAATTTACACAATCACCAACAACTTCATCAATTATTTCACCAACAGTTGGATCTTTTGAAAAAACAAAAAATACAGTTATCCCCAAAACAACTTCACAATTTAATTTTGGTAGTACAACAATGTCATCTGCTGAAAAATTAAAATCACTAAGTGAAGTGGATGGTGTAAAAGATAGTGGTCAGTCAACATTATCACCTAATAAAGAAATTGAAAACCAGAAATCTGAGCTTAGCAGTTTGGAACAACAAGAAAAATCATCCTCTGAATGTAGTAAAGTTATTGAGAGTACTTTAAATAGCACATCAAATGATATAATTTCAAAAGAGTCAACTGAAAGCTCAGTTAAAACTCCTTTCCAGTTTTCTGCATTACCTTCTAAATCTTTGAATTCCAACTCAAGCTTAAAAAGTGATGCAGAGTGTGTTAAGAATGTGAATAAACCTGAAACTATTCATTCAATACAATTTGGTAATAAAGAGTCTTCCGAAAAAAATACAAAAGAAGATAGTGCTGTAGCTTTTAATAACTGTAATATAAATACTTCAAAACTACCAGCTTTTACATTTAAAGGTAATGAAAAACAGCCAATGTCTGTTTTACAATTTGGTACAGAAAAAAATGAAAACAAACAACTAGCTCCAGTAATGCAGTTTGGAGCATCAAAACCTGAAGATAAAGTATCAGCTCCAGTAATACAATTTGAGGCTTCTAAAACTGAAGAAAAACAGTCTGTACCTGTTATGCAATTTGGAGCTCCTAAAACTGAAGAAAAACAGTTTGTACCTGTTATGCAATTTGGAGCTCCTAAACCTGAAGAAAAACAATCTATACCTGTTATGCAATTTGGAGCTCCTAAAACTGAAGAAAAACAGTCTGTACTTGTAATGCAATTTGGAGCTCCTAAAACTGAAGAAAAACAGTCTGTACCTGTTATGCAATTTGGAGCTCCTAAAACTGATGAAAAGGAACCATTATCAACAATACTCTCAGTAGCTTCTAAAACATCAGAATGTTCAAATAAACCTGTATTTTCCTTTGGTCATAATACTCTTAATAGTTTAAAGTCTTCTGATAGTCTTAAATTTCAATTTGGTTCAACAAAACCTAATGATAATGGTTCAACCATTCCTGTATCAACAGAATCAAAAACTGTTATGTTTGGATCAAGTAATACAGCTGCTAGTTCAACTCCTTTCTCTTTTGGAAAAACTGATGTTCCTCAATCATCAAGTGAAAAGTCATCATTAAAATTACAATTTGGAACTCCTCCAATGTTTGGAAACTCATCAGTAGAACAAATTAATACTAATGTATCAGCACCCAATAATCCAGGACCTAAATTAGTTTTTGGCAGTCAAAATACTGACATTAAACCAGCCTCATCAAACCCTACCATGATTTTTGGTAGTAATACAGATAATCCTGTATTTCAATTTAATACTTCTAGTACTAAAACCAATGAAAAGCCAACAGAAACAACTAACAATGCTTTTCAATTTTCTGCTGCTAAGACTGTTCCATCATTTGGTAACTCAACAACTCAAGGTTTTGGAGATAAACCAGCGTTTCAGTTTAATGCTCAAAAAACAGATGACCAGAAATCTCAGTTTTCATCACCGTCCTTTGGAAATCAAACTGCTGCTGTTGCTCCTTTTAAATTTGGAGGTGGTGAAAAGCCTGCTGTATTTGGAAGTACATTTACTTCACCAAATCAACCAATCGAGTTCAGCAATAAAATTGAGACAAAAACTGAACCATTTAAATTTGGTGCTTCTACTAATGCATTTCAGTTTAGTTCCAATAAAAATGACAGTGGCCCAATTAAGTTTGGTCAAAGCTCAAATACATTTAATTCTTCTGGAGGATTTAGTGGCTTTGGTAAATCTTCAACTCAGCTCACTGTGTCATTTGGAAACACTGCACCTTCACAACCTTCACCATTTGGAACTACTGCTGCTCCTGAATCAACATCAACATTTGGTAGCGTAGCTCCTACTTCAATGAACACATTTGGGACTACAGCCAATCGAGGTTTTCAATTTGGTAATTCAAACACCTCTACATCTAATAACCCATCTACATTTGCTTTTAATGCTGCTTCACAACCTGCAAAGCCTGAGGGAGCTTTTAGTTTTGGCTCGACCACTGCTGCAGCACAACCATTCCAGTTTGGACAAGCACCAGGTTTGTCATCCCCTCAGCAATTCAGTGGAGGACAACCTCAAGGTAATATTATAATTTTTTTTTTTTAATTATTTATTATAATTATATTTTTATTTTTAAATAAAAGTAATATTGACTAATACAATGAAATATTTGTTTCATAATACTTAAAAAAATTCAATCATAAATTTTCTACTTATTTTTAGAAACTTTTAACATTTTTGACAAATATATGGTATAATCAGTTATTGTTTGTTATAATATATTTAAAAATAAAGATAAACTATTTCTTTAATATTTAAGATTTTATGTCAACTCACAATAATCAATTTTTTAAATTCAAGTACACTCAACACAATTTTTATAGGTTATCAAATTTTTTAAAAATCTTTTTTTTTTAAGGAGCCTTTGGTTTTGGTTCGCCTCCACAGCAACAGCCAGGTATATAGAAAAAATTAACAATTTAATTTTCAAAATATAATAGTTAATTGAAATTATTTTCTTGTTTTTAGGATTGCAAGGATCAAATCAGGCATTATTTAGTATTGGAACAGCACCAGCTGGGGAACGACGAAAAGCCAAAGCTGTCAGAAGAAGACAATGATGACTTAAAATATATTTTTATAATTATTTATAAATGATAAAAGTGAATGTGATTTTCAAAAAACTTATTTTATTAAGATTGGACTATTGTAAAATTAAGCCATCTATTTGAAAATTGATATTAAAATGTTACCTATTATTGTTGGACAAATAATTAGTGGTAGTTGAATAATCATATTTTAAATTATTTGTTCTGTATGAATCTATTTTTAATGAAATTGGTAACGTCTTGATAATTATTTTTAGTTACTAATATTGAAATCTGAATTATATCATAAATCCTATTGAATAATATGTATTTTGAGATTATTTAAAAGTAAATTTTCAATGATATAAAATATGCATATTAAAACATTAAAATAATATTAAGATTATTGGTTTACTGTAATTATTTTTATTATTGGAACTTAACCTATTCTTAGATGTACTTTGTAATTATTTGATTTTTATGAATCATTAAAAGAATAATTAAAAATAAGTGTGACACACTATATAAACGAGCCTTTAATATTTCTAAAGAAAAGTTAAATAACCAAATCCTGGAATTTAATTTTATATATAATTGTATTATGGAAAATAATCTTTACCGGCTATCATGATGTAGGATTAAATTGTATATACCTCGTAATTCTAGTGATACTATCCACATGTGTGTGCTACTACACACAAATAAGATTTCCCCTTATACAGGGGGGTTTGCAAACCTTTATAATACGTATAGAAAGTAGAACGTTTTCAACTTAACTTTTGAAAATGTTCCGACTGACACTTTTATATATGTCTTAAATTAAAGCTTATATAATATACTTTAATTTGAAAAAAAAAATTTGACCTCTGGACTTGTCTTCGTAGTGAAAATGGACATAAAAGTTAAAGAAAAAATATAGTTTAAAAAACTAAAAAAACACGCTTTTAAAGCACATCGAACTAAAAAGTTAAAAATAATTTTTAAAATAATTATTTTTAACTTTTTAGTTCGATGTGCTTTAAAAGCGTGTTTTTTTAGTTTTTTAAACTATATTTATTTTTTACTTTTTAGTTTCATGTTATGATAGTAGTTACTATCAATATCATGGTTGTTACGGGTAACGGGAAATCAGGGTTCGATTCCGGGGAGGGAGTCT